ATTTTATGCCTGTCATCTAGATCAGAAATACAGTGAATTGGACCAATTTTTTTCCCCCATAAGAGGGAAAATTACTATATACATCTGTTGTTGCTCTTGAATCGACAAATATGCATCTGTTATTGCAATATCCCTCTTCCTGCCATAGCAATTATCCCGGAATATGTTTATGTGTTAAGCAAGATATCCTCGACAATTTTTATATGCCAACCGGAACCTTCCCTCGCTGCGGTTCATATTCCGGGCTTCCGGTCCGTTTATTTACCTTTGAATTTGGGGGAATGATTGCTGATCTTACTTTTGTTGTAACAGAAAATAAAAGTTTTTAATTTCAGTTTTAATACATAATTAAAACTAATAATTTTTTAGTGTAGCTTATATTTTAATTGAATTAAATTTTCGAGGTTGATTTTTTCATTGAAAAACATAACCTTAATACACAGCTTGGAAGATAAATTTTCACACACTTCATATTATATATAATATTTATATGATTTTTGACGAAATTAATAAACAGCATAGAGTACATAAACGGCGTAAATTAAAGTACATAACACTGAATTGTTAAGCATAGAGTAACAAAATAGAAAAGTGACTTTTTCTTCATGAAAGCGAAGAGTCGGGAGAGAGAAAGGGGTGCTTGTTGTTGCACATGAAAAGCCTCTTCAATATCAGTGTGTTGAACTTTGCTTCCAGTCCTCATCACAAGGAATCCATACGGATGCCACATAACGAACCACATTACACCATATCATAAAAATATTCAACATATCGTCTGATTTTAGCACCATAAATTATCAGAAAACATAAAAAAAAGCGGGAGAGGTATAGGAACCTTGACGAGAAGTTTGAGGTAAATATCATTGGATTTAGGGGCGGTGCGCGCGTGTTGGCGCTTGTGCCGCTTTCCACCTCGCCTTTGGAACTAAGAGCATGTTTGGCTAAGTTTAAAATCCAATTAAAATTGAAAATATACTTGTTGTTGGGTATCACTCGTATAATAAAAGTCAAAAATAACGGTTAGTTTTTCAATTTTAATCCGATTTTAATCTCTATCGAACACGCCCTAAGTTTTTAACAAAGGAAGTGGAGGTAAGGTCGGTGGGAATGAACCCTAAAAATGAAGTCCATTTGATTGCAAGAATGAAATTTGAGAGGAAAGAAAATGAATTTCAAATAATTGAATTGACTAGAACTTGTTTTATTGGGAATTGTCAATTCATTGTATTTGATTGGTATAATTTTTCACCTAAAAAATATTGAAATTTTGGATCTTTTGGTATTCGTTTGACTTTATTTTCCATGAAAATTGTCTATTACATTGATATACTTCGTTACAATTGTGGATATAATTTGTTTCTATTGCCAAAATAAATAAATAAATAAATAAAGCTGCACAGAAAACAAATTCCCACCAAAGTGGTGGGAATTGATTTACCTCAAAAAGCAAGAAAATGTGGCAAATCAAGGAAATGTAGAAAACCGATTACGTGGAAGATGTTTCCTATCAAACACTCTAAAAAGTGAAAAATGGCAAAAAAAANTTTAATTTCCATCTTTCATGGAAAAGAAAGAGCAATCAAATGGGGCCCTAGAGATGATTTTTTAAGAGAGTAATGCTATTTAGTTACTAAGGTTGCAATGCCAGTTTAGATTGCGTTAACGTGCCATCAAATGATAAATGAAATTAAATAACTCATTTAATTCTACATTTCATTTAACTTATCATCGAACGCCACCTAAATTAGAATTGGAAACCGAGTGAAGTTACACAACATTACTTTTTTTAAGACCATGGGCCAATTAGGGGTGTCAACGAGTCGAGTCGAGTCGAGCCGAGCCATGAGTCGAAACTTAAAGCTCGGGCTCGACTCGAGCAAAAATGGTTCCGACTTTTTTTTTTTTGCCCGAGCCGAGTCGAGCAATAGCTCAGCCAAAAAACGAAAGTTCGACCTGATCTTTCAGCTCGGGCCAAGTCAGCTCGTTGTTTTTTAATGATAAATCTAATTATTTTTAAGAATTTACAATTTGTTCAATTTATATATATGCGTGAATTTAAAATCTATTTTTAAATTTTTTTTAATAAGGTTCGACGGGTCAAAATGACCCGTGACACGAGCCCACAGGCTGGCTCGGCTCGAGCTGATACCCTAAAATGGGGCTCTGCCCGAGCCAGTGAACTTTTTTGACATCCCTAGGGCCAATAAATATATGGTTGGTCCAACTAAAGTTTTAAAAGGAAAATTAGGCTCACTATCTTTTAAAAATAAAATATTAAATTAATACCCTTAAAATTGATTACAAATTTTCGTATTAATTATGCCCAAATTGATTTTGTAAATTTTTTTAGATCACTTTTTTGAATTTCTTATCACTTTTCGTTTAATAGTTTTTCTTTTCCCGATTTATAGAATTAAGAGTTAATAATATTATATGAATATTGATTTAAGAAGACAAGATATGTCACTCTATGAAAAGTAACACGGTTCTTTTTTACTTTTTAGCATTAATATATATTGACTCTTTCAAAAAAGCGACATGGTAGGTCACTTTTTTATTCTTCAAAATTCATAATAATCAGTTGCTTGACTTTCCATACTAACTATTAAGAGACTATACACGAAACAATTGAAAAAAACACAACTAACAAACATAAATAAACTCTAAATTGTTCAATTAATAAGATTTAATAAGAAAGAAATTATTAATTTGTTTAGAAAAAATAAAAAAAATTAATTTATCCAATATAAAAAAAAAAGTTCGGTTCNAAATTGATTTATCCAATATGAAAAAAAAATTCGGTTCTTATTCGATTCTTCGGTTCTGGGTCTAGAACCGAGAACCGAACCAAACCATTTGGTTCTCGATTCGGATACCCGTTCGGGTATTTCATTTAAAAAAACCCGCTCGATTCGGTTCCGGTTCGATTCGATTCGGACATTTTGCCCAACCTTAACAATAATGATAATTTAGTCTCTTTTTAATAGCGCAAAAACTTTGGGCATGTTCTTTTTACCATTTTCAAGTCGTTTTCTGTTTTCCATTTTTTAAAATAGTGAAAACTCGTTCTCTTTCCTATTTTCAAAAACGCTTTTTTGAAAACAAGTTAGAAATTTACAAAAAAAACTCAAAATGACAAATTTGTCGTTTTGGGTGTTTTCAGTTATAATCAAGTCAAAATTTTCAAAACGCGTTTTAAGTGTTTTAAAAATTTTTCAAAATGTCAAAAAGAACACATTTTCAACAATATCAAAATGGACACTCAAAACACAAAATACAGAATGAATTCAAAACTCAAAATACAAAATTGAAATATAAAGAGAACATCCCCTTAGTTTCTTAAAAAATGATATGATATTAACAAAAAAAGTGATAGTTACGTTTTAACAAAGATTGTTGTTTGGTTTTGAATTTTCACGATGTGGTTCTGATTTTAGCTAATCCAAATCGATTAGTAAAGGATGATGTGTTTATTTCATGATAGACTACTTTTAACTACATACCTAAAGCAGATAAAAGTATATTAAACATGCAGAGTCTAATTATCAGTTTGCAATCTTCGTAAATTATTTGACTTATCAAGCGATCACGAAAAATAACAAACATTTAGATTAATCCTATAATTCATCTATACAAAACATATTTAAAAATTCAAAACTTAGGTAACCTATTAAATTGATCTAACTATCTTTTCAAAAATACACCTTAAGAGTTCTCTTATAATACTGTCACAACTCATGAAAATGTCACCGATTTATTAAAACAGTTGGTTCCAGACAACTAGTACCATCGAGTGATGTAATATTCAGCGACCAATAGAAAAATCAAATTGAAAAAATGTGGGACATGTAGAAAACTAGTACCAGCGGCCACTATATGGTTGCTCAAGGGGTGTGTACAAAATGCTAACATCAATTGAATAGAAACACTAGATTTATTGCGCCAAGTGTTTTAGAGATCAAGCTACAATTGGTTGTCGAAAACTAGTACGACCAACCAGACTGTGGTTGCTAGGGTGGTTAATATTTAACAACTACATCGTTGGTCGGTTAAAGAATCAAGAAAATGCGCGGGACTTTCAATCATGGGAGGCTTAGTCACTGAAATTTTATCAGCGAACATAGTTTGCTAAAACAATAGTGATCATATCCATTGGTTGCTAAAACAACATAAAAATGCATGCCCATTTCTCGATAGGTGTTCAAGCGACCATCGTTTGGTCGCCGTAGATGTCTACTATGCAAAAAAAAAAATTGTGGCTCTTTTTCTCACCCTGATACTTTGCATTAGTGACCAAATATTGGTCACAAAAGATAGTAAAAAAATTAGTCCACTATTATAAGATCAAAACTTGTTCCAACCGATTTGCTTGATTGCTGAATTTCCTTTTTTTCTTCTTCTGTTTGTTTGTTTGTAGTGATGGAGTGGCAATGGTCAAAAATGGAGGCCAAAGAATCGATGGCATTTGTTTTCCAGATCATCACGCCCTTTTTCTTTGTTTGTAGTGATGGGTAGCAATGGTCAAAAATGGAGGCCAAAGAATCGATGGCATTTCTTTTCCAAATCTTTTTACTCAGCAGCGAAAGAGTCAATCAAAAATACAGAAGTCAAGTTGCTTGGTCATACTTCACTTTTCCATTAGGAAAAGTATATTATTTATTATGCCACATAAATACACCACAATTGAAATACATTTTTATAAATACGCCACAAGCAATTTACAAATACAACATAACCCAATTAAAAAAAAGGGAAAAATCAAAGTACATCACATTGTTACCCTTTTCATTTCACCCTTCTCTCCCACGTCAGCTTCTGTATCAATTTTGTCAGCTTTATTATTGATTTTTCTCAAGCAATTAAAGTATTGTTGAAATCAATAGCACAAATGTGAGCTGAAAAAATTGGCACAGCGCCATGGGTTTCACGTCTAGCCTCCTTATATATGACACCATTCTGAGTATTTCGTTACGATATCCATATTGATGAGTTTATCTAGCATGACTGACACCATTGTGTTGTATCCCTCTCCCGGAATAGGCCACCTGATTTCCATGGTGGAGCTCGGGAAGCTCCTCCTCAAGCACCGCCCTTCATTCTTCATAACAATTTTCGTCACCGCCGCTCCACACACCACCGGCGTAACCGCACCCTACATAAACCACGTTGCTTCCACCACTTCTTCCATCACTTTCCACCAACTTTCTACCGTCGAACTTCCTCCCACCTCCGCCAACATCCCTTTTGAAGAACTTTTTTTCGAAATACCACGCCTGAACAACCCTTACCTGCACGAAGCCCTTCAGAATATATCCCAGAAATCAAATCTCGTAGCCTTCTTCATAGATTTCTTCTGTAACGCTGCTTATGAAGTCTCTTCAAAACTTGGAATCCCTACTTACTATTTCTACACTTCAGGCGCTTCTGCACTTTGCGTTTTCTTACATATTCCAACTCTCCATGAAACCATTACAAAAAACATCAAAGATGTACATGATTATATTAAAACTCCAGGCACCCCACCAATTTACTCTCAAGATTTGCCAAAAGTTCTGTTTGATCGTGAAAGTAGAATATACAAGCTGTTCTTAGAAACTGCTATGCAGAAAGGAAAATCGCCTGGGATTTTGGTAAATACTTTTGAAGCTCTTGAATCAAGAGCAGTTAAAGCATTATCCGATGGTTTATGTATTCCAAATGCACCAACGCCGCCAGTATATTGCATTGGACCTCTAATTGCAAGCAAAGATAAAGGCATTAACAGTGATGAACATGAGTGTTTGAGTTGGTTAAATTTACAGCCTAGTAAAAGTGTAGTTTTTCTGTGTTTTGGGAGTATGGGATCCTTCACGGCAGAGCAGCTGGTAGAAATAGCGGCAGGGTTGGAAAATAGCGGCCACCGGTTTCTTTGGGTGGTGCGTAATCCACCCACGGATGATGAAACCAAGAAAAATTCAGAACCAGACTTGGATGCATTGTTGCCACAAGGTATTCTTATCCGCTCATCTAATGGTTAGAGATCTGTGATGTGTATTAAATTTACAGTTGGGTGTCCACTAATAATGGACACCCGACGCCCCATCATTGGTGGGGCGCCTGATGAAACCAAGGAAAATTCAGAACCAGACTTGGATGCATTGTTGCCACAACGTTTTCTTATCCACTCATCTAATGGTTAGAGATATGTGATGTGTATTAAATTTAAATGATGTTTGGTGGAGATTAAAATTATATTTTTAGTAGATTGTGATAGAAATTTTTAAAATGTGTAGTTGAAAAGTTGTGAGACCCATGAAAGATGTTAATATTGATTGTTTGACTTTGACTTAGATTAAAATCTTATTTTTAATCTGTACCAAACAAGGCCTTAAATTTGCACATGTAAGTCTGTCCGGTTCATTATTTTGTCCTCAAAGCTTAACATGAGTATAACTTTTAGTAATTGGGTGGGGGCAATTTTTTTTTGTAAATGAGGACCGAGAGAGTTGAAAACAAGTTTTCTTAGCTTTTGATAAGGTATGTTAACAATCTCATCCAAAAAAAATTTAAGTGTTTAGGGAAAAGTAGTGATTATTTATTTAAATTTTGCGACAGGTTTCTTGGAAAGAACTAAGGATAAAGGACTTGTCGTGAAGTCATGGGCACCACAACTGGAGGTGTTGAATCATGACTCAGTAGGGGGATTCGTGACTCACTGTGGATGGAACTCAACTTTGGAAGCTATTTGTGCAGGTGTGCCAATGTTGGCATGGCCACTCTATGCAGAGCAAAGGATGAATAGGGTTTTCATGGTGGAGGAATTGAAGGTAGCGCTGGGTTTAACTGATTCGGCCAACGGGTTCGTTACAGCAGCTGAGTTGGATAAGCGAGTCGGAGAGTTGATGGAGTCGGAAAACGGGAAAGCAGTGAAGGATCAGGTTATGGCTATGAGAAATTGCGCCAAGGCTGCAATTCAAGATGGCGGTTCATCCCATGTAGCCATGGAAAAGCTCATCGAGTCCTGGACGAAGGGCTAATGCAATTGTTAACGGGAATGTAATGGCTCCGTGCATCTGTTCGATCATATCCAATTCAACTATCATTCCCAATTCAATAAGATCATCTCAATGTGTTAGCGCAATTGTTATTTAATCATATTCAATCTTCAATATGCTAAGCCCCGTTTGACCCCCACTATTTGTAATTTTGATGGTTGGAATAATATTATTTGAAAAAATGTGTGGTAAAAAAAAATAATAATAAATTGGGATTGTTTGTATTTTAATATGTTAAAAATAAAAAAAATGCCTTACTTTACCAAATATAAATACTAGACGAAGAATAGGATTTAAGTGGTACAATTCCACTTACATATTCGTGAATATAGTAATGTGTCGATATTAATAATAAATAGAGATTTAAGCACCCAATGGAGTTCAATAATTTAGGTGGTGTCCTTTTCGTGTTTCTGTTTTGTGTTTTGAATTCATTTTGAATTTTGTGTTTTGAGTGTCCATTTTGAGATTGTTGAAAATTCGTTCTTTTTATCATTTTGAAAAATTGTTTTCCAAAATTAAAAACACCAAAACACGATCTCTCATCCCATCTCTCTCTCTCTCCCCTCCCCTCTTTCTCTCCTATCTCTTCTCAGCGCCAGGCTCCATTTCGGCGCCCAGAAGGAGTGGGGGTGCGATGCTGCTGTCCTTCTTCTTCAATTTTTGGTGGAGATTTTGGGTCGCAAATTCAGTGGTGATGGTGGTGGCTGTGGGTGCGATTTGCTGCGATTCGGTGGTCGACGGTGACGGTGGTTGTAGCAGTGGTCTCTTAGCCAGTCGCGACGCTGCTGTCCTTCTTCTTTCGTTTTTCAGTCGCGATTTTTGTGATGATTTTGGGTC